ACAAGTGACTGGCGATGTGGATTTACGTGATGTAATTTCATTGAGTATTTTCCATAGTCCACTAGAATTGCTTTTGTTTTTGTTAATTAATTCGAGATAATAATCGGCTTTACTCTTCTTAACTTGTTTGGTAACAAGGCATTTTAATTTTTTGTACATGTTCCAGTGAAATTCAGAGTTACTTTTAATAGCCTTTCTATGATGGTAATCACGATCTCGCATCGCGTCTTTAAGTTTAGCCGTCAACCAGGGTGTTTTGGTTCCTTTTATGCGGCTCCTTTTAATAGGTGCATGTTTATCAGCAACATCAGAAAAGAGTGTATTCCATGTTTCGACAGCAGCATCTAGATCTTGAGTTTCGTCTATTATATCCCAGTCAATTGACTTAAGATCTTGAATAAAAGAGTTCTTGTCAAATGTGCGGTAAGAGCGATATTCAATTGTTTTTGGAGGAGCTTTGGGAACACCAGATTTTATAGTGCAATAAACAATAGAGTGGTCGCTAATTGCCGAGTGAATGACTCCGCTTTCAACAACACGATGACTATTATTGACAAAAACTAAATCAATCAGAGTTCTCGTCTGGTTACAAATTCTAGTGGGAGGTTTGATCAATTGTTCAAAATCATTCAGGTTTGCAAATCTTTGTAACTTCTGCTTCGCTTTATACGCGGCAGTATTCTTCTCGGCTGAGAAATCGGCATTAAAATCTCCCAGAATTATAACTTCAGTTTCAGCAGGCAATTTTGAAAGAGATGTGTTAAAATAGTCAATCAAGGAGTCACAGCAGTAATCTGGCGGTCTATACACACAACAAACGATTAACTTTTTACATTTAGCACGGTTTATTTCAATCCAGCAAGCTTCGTTTACCCCGTCAAACAAGTCCGTTAGGTGTCTATAGGGAATGCCATCTCGAACAAAAATCGCTGTTCCACCACCTCGTTTGCCATTGCGGTCATGTCTTACTGACGTATAGCCAGGAATGTCAATTTCAGTATCCAATATAGTGGGATTGAGCCAAGTCTCAGAAACTGAGAAAATATCGAACGATTTACTTCTTACGAGATGACTAATGTCGTCCAGTTTGTTTACCAAGCTTCGTACATTCAGGTGAGCCACTTTGAAGCCACGAGCTTTTGGCAGATCATCTGCATAAGGACCAGGATTTAAACTCACATCGCCAGATAAAAGAACTAACGAGGAAGCGACCATAGATAATTTCAGCAAATGTAAACTAACTTTCAATTTACAAGATGGTGGCAGGCTGCCTTTAGTAGTGGAAGGAGAATGTCTCGGTAGACCAGGCGTATTTCTTGTTGGAAACTGCTTGATATCCAGTTTAAGTGCACACATTAGACAGGAGGCACCTTTAACTAACCTTCGACAAGGTTTAAAAGACTCCACGAGCAAAAATAGAGATAAAAATACGACTAAAATGGTAGACAATCTAGAGAAGCGTCTTTCCGCCATTTTGTACATATAATAATATGAAAGATGAGTGGGCTCACCAATGGCTAGTCATAATAAATCCTGATAAGACTGAATCTATTATTTTTTTCAGTTAAAAAGTATCAGGTCTATCCTGATTTGTTTTTTTGATAACAAAAAAATTGTGGACGTTACACAACATAGTCATCTCGGGTTGACATTATCAAGTAATCTTTCTTGGAAGGCTCATATTTTAAAAGTATATGAAAAAGCTTGTAGAAGATTAAATTTACTTAAAGGATTGAAATTTATTTTAAATAGGGGGACTTTGAACAGATTATACAAATCTCTTATTCGTCCATTAATGGAGTATGGAGATGTCTTGTGGGATGGCTGTACAGAAGGCGAGGGCGATCTCCTTGAGTTTGTGCAATACGAAGCAGCAAAAATTGTAACAGGTGTTATGATATGAAGGGAACTAGTAGGCGTTCTCTGATGCACGAAATCGGTTGGGAAGATATGAAAACTAGACGTTCTTATTCATAAGTTGATATTCTATTTTAAAATTGTTAATAATTTAACTCCAAATTATTTAAAAGAGCTAGTGCCATCTCGGGTGTTTGAGCGAACTTGTTATTCCTTGAGGTCGTGTTCAGATTATACTTTATTTCCAGTGTGTACTGAGCGTTTTAAAAAATCTTTTTTTCCTTCCACTATGGCGTGGAATGATATTGATTTTTCAGTGCGCAATCTTAATTTCGTTTAAATACGCTTTGTTTAGAATTTTTGATGTTCTTCATTACAAGAGGTTATTTAATTTTTCTCTTGACAGATATTCCTCTATCATTCATACTCTATTACGTTTAAATGTTTGTGCTTTAAATTACTATCTGTTTAAAATTGGGAGTAAACCCTCTCCTGAATGTTTGTGTGGTTTTGAAATTGAAAGTATTAATCATTATTTTCTTCACTGTCCGTTGTTTGCTGCTCCTAGACTGAAGTTGCTCTCCTCTGCTGCTCATATACTTGCCGATAGATGGAATGCAATTTCTGAATTGCAGTTATTAAGGCTTTTTTTGACTGGATCTTCGCAACTCACAATGATCTACAACGACCCACAATGATCTACAACGAACCACAACAATCCAACAACGACGCTACACCGATCTACATAGCGACCCTACAATGACTTACGATGACTTCTGTTGAACGTTGTGATGCATGGTGATCATAGCCTAAGTATCAGGTTCTATTTTACAAATAATAGCCTGACACTAACCTTAATCCGATCGCTTTCCACCCACAACAAAGTTTATATTTAGTATCCAATCAAAATGTCGCAGGAGAAATTTAAAGATAGTCCAAGAACCAAAAGAGTTTAAGAGTGGTCGGATACCAAGTGTAAATGGGGCTTTATCTACCTCTTTTGGTAGGCTAGTTTAGGCTTATACCAAAAGATGTAATAAATGAACATCGAGAGCAAGTGTTTCGAGTTGTTTATATGGCTTCTCAAATGAATCGAGACATAACAGAATGTTTTCTTTTGCTGATTTAAATAGAATTCTTAACCAAGCATAACATAATTAGGAATTCTATTCAAGTAATTTTGCATGCATAATTAAAATATTTGATGAAAACACTAGTGACTTTAATCAAGTTTCACCAGGTTATCTAAATGGCATCTTGTGATCAAATAGGTGATTATCATTGGCTGGATTTCTCATGAATTATTAATGAATTTGATAAAGATTATCACTAGGTAACAAAGAATGGGCAACTTACCTTTTTTCGGGGGTGAAAGATATTCCACCACCATATAATATTGCCCCGCCCCCACACTTCCTACGCCCTTGTTTTTTGATATTAGTTGCACTATCTACGACAACTGTACAATCTCTGTACAGATGCAAGGAACTCAAAAGCAAAGTAATCACTTATACAATTATATACCTGTACAGTTTTTGTGAACTCTAATGATGGGTGTATGGGCCTATCTTGTTTGGGGGGGGCACAGTATATTTTGCCTGAACAGGCAAACTGAACATTAATATTTCTCCCCAAAAGTATTGGCGTGTCACCAAAAAAAATTTTTTGGGACATACCAAAAAATTCTTTCCAGACATACCAAATACTTGTCTGCAAACATATAACATACCATAAAAAAATTTTCTCTAACGTCACATAATTTTTGCAAATATACCAAAAATGTTTCAGGACATATAATTTCCCCCCGAAATTTTTGTGTTTTGCCCGAATGTTGCATTGATTTTTGCCCGACGGTAAAAATTTCAGGGGGGGGGCATACACCTATGACTCAATAACAATGAATTGGGATGGGGATAAATTGGGGATGTCATCTATTACTTCATGTTGATTTAATTAAAGTGAAAATTGCAATATTGAAAAAATAAATGCACCATTGATTAAGACAAGCTATATGTTGTGTCACAGCATAGTTAATATAATGAGAGAGTTTGAAAGGCCGGCAATCTTCAAAGGATCAAGTGGTTTTCATGGTGGTCAGTAATGCACATACGAAAGTTAGTATCAATTTGCCCATAAACCCATATCAATTGGGATTAGTTTCAGAAATATTTGCGAAAATTCACAAATTACCACTAAATAGGCTATATAAAATTTCGGAAAATATTCGACACATACAAGACGGGTCGTTGTAGGATCTTCGCAGATCGTTACAGGGTTGTTTTAGGTCGGTGTAGCGTCGTTGTAGGTCATTGTAGCGTCATTGTAGATCATTGTAGGTTGTTGTAGATCATTGTAGGTGGTTCCTTACATTAGTACCTACGGCAAAAAATATGTAATGTATAAAGTATAGTTTCTGTCTCCATAACAATATATGAAAATAAAATGCACTTATAAATACATGCCTTGACTGGTTGGTTTTTGTCTTAATTTTGTCGACATTCACCTGTAATTTATATACATTTTATGTACTGATCAATTCGAAACTTCAACATCCCCCTGGGCATATCCAAGGAATTTAACTTCAAGTGTTCTCCAGGGGGTAGGGAGTTTGACGAAGTCTTCCATGGTGGGTTATTTGATAAGGGGGCTTTGAACCGGAAGTCTTAAAATTTTGCCCGTTTTCGCATGCTTCCTGCATGCATGCTACTAATTATTAAAATAGTACAGAAAACAGTTCGCATTTCCCAGATTTCGAGGGAAAATGGCTCAATTTTGTGAAAAACCAGCTCAAAGAAATTTTGTGCTTCATTTGAAGGTATGTACTACAAAATTGTGTAAAACTGTTAAATCTCCATATTAACGTTTCCAAATTTTTAAGTGAATTTCACTATCTTGCCAAAAAATATTTGCATATATTTTGTACTTTTTGTATTTACTATTTCATAATTTTCATATGAGTGCACATTGTTGCTTAACCCCTTGCCAATCTCAGGGCACATACGGGCACATTGTGGCTTAACTCAATGCCAGCATGTACACTTCTATAATCCTCTGTAATTGTAGATTATTGTGTGAATTCTAATTGTATTCTTGTAGGTATCTGAAGATGCAAATGATATAATTTCGAACTTGTCACAACCCCATATTGTGGCCATAGGCAGAAAACTAGAATACAATAAACTGTCAATGTGGTTACCCACAGCATTTCATAGATAATGCTATGAAAGCACCACAAAGTATACAGCAGAAAATTTAATATCAGTCGTCTGTTTGTCTACCATATATTGGTCCGGCTTCACACAAAATCGAAAGAATTTTGAAGAATGAAGCAGGTATAAAGGTATACCATTCCAGCGAAAACAACTTGTTTCGAGCTCTTTGCACACATAAAGACAACGTAAATGAATATCAGAAACCTGGTGTGTACCGTATTCCTTATGAATGTGGTTTGGTTTACATTGGTGAAACTGGTTGAAATCTCTCAGTGCGTCTTAAGGAACACAAGATGAATTGTGAGAAAGCCGAGCAAGATAAATCTGCTGTGGCTAAACATACTTGGACTTACGACCATCGTATAAAATGGGACGAAGCAACTATTTTGGCGATTGATAGTCATAAGTTCTCTCGCAAAATGAGATCAAGAGTCAATTGAAATTGAGAAGCACAATACTATAGATCAGGAGGGAAAGCCACTAGATAGTATGTGGCATGCTCTCTTTAATGTGCAAAATTAATTTCTCTTGTCTTGGACGTGCGCGCGTTAATTGGAATCACTTCACTACGTTTGGAATGACGTGGTTGATGTGCCGTTTAATTAAATTTCAAATGACGCGAGGCAGCAGATCATGACACTTTTGTATATAAAAGAGCGTGTGAATTAAACAAGTCATATTATTAGCACTGATGAAGATCCGGGCTTACGGATTGAAAGCTTTGCAGTAATAAATTTACGTGGTGTTTTCCACAAACAGAAAGTGTTATAAACTGTCAATCATTATCAAGGGAAAGGAGTTCAGTTCCATAACAAGCAACAGTTGTTTTGATTTAATTATCATCCCATTGCTAAGTTTTCACATTTTCAATATTGAGTATTGTAACACAAAGAGTGTCAATTGTAGATTATTGTTTGAATTTTAATTGTATTCTTGTAGGTATCTGAAGATGCAAATGATATAATTTCGAACTTGTCACAACCCCATATTGTGATCATTGGCAGCAAACTAATACAATAAACTGTCAATCATTATCGAGGGAAAGGAGTTCAGTTCCATAACAAGCAACAGTTGTTTTGATTTAATTATCTTATTGCTAAGTTTTTACATTTTCAATATCGAGTATTGTGACAGAAAGAGTGTCTTGTTTTTCTTGGAGACTATAGTACTAGGCAACACAAAAACTGGGTGACAACTGACAAATAAGGTTCACAGCTCTTTTCAATGATGTGTCATTAATGGTAATACAACAGTAATTTTACATTTCTTTGAGAGTCATGTTGACATATGCTAACCCATGTTAATGTTTAATATTGATGGAATGTGTGTGATTGTGAATTCCAATCCTGGTATAAATTTTAATAACTTAATGAAGACCAGGCTCTTCATTGGGGCTGAAACTGC